CATATTCGACTCAATCCGAGCCCAAATGGGACCAAATCTAAGACCCGAAGCACATTTGAAAGGTTCAAAACATAATTTGGATTGCCAAGCGTCTTCTAAACATGACATACTTACAGTCGAATCGAGCGGCTCGACGAGACAAATCCAACAATCCCAATATCGTCGAATTCTGACATCATTAAGGTATTCAAATGCCCAGTAAATGATCCATGATCAAGGGAATCAGCATTAACCGTCCATTCAAACCACTCCCAATTTACCCTCCCTTGAGTCTCCACTTTTTATTGGTATTGTCACTCTCAAAAAATTATAAATAGACCCCTCATTCTTCATTGAGGGGGGACCGAAGCAAGAGAAGCAAGGAAAGGGAGGAAAGGAAGGAAGTGAGCCCTCTTGCCACCCGACTCCTCCTCGACAACCATCAGACTTCCATTAGGCAACCGACTATCGCCGCACTTCTGCCAAACCACCAACTAACATTAGACTTCTTCCTGGTCATTGAGTGTGCCAAACTTTCGCCCGGTCACCGATTAGGATTCTTTCATCAGTCTTTCTGACCTCTATCGCCTACTGATTATGGTCCTTCTGACATCCGTCACTAGAATACGGTCTTCTGACCTCTGTCGCCTGCCAACTACGGTCATTCTGACCTCCTTCATCTGAATACGGTCCTTCCAGTCTCCTTTGTCACACAACTGACTTTCCAATCTCCGTCACCTACCGACTACGGTCTTTTCGACCCCCATCGCAAGACAACGGTTCTTCCGACCTCTGTCGCCAGACTACAGTCTTTCTGATCTCCGTCGCCCGTTGACTATGGTCATTTTAATAACTTTCACCCGAATACGGTCTTTCCATCCTCCTTCACTAGCCGACTATGGTGTTGTCGACCAAACGAACATATCAATACCGATTCTTCTAATTTTTGACATGTAATTCCTTCCAATATGATATATATTTGTTACATCATGCCAAGACCTTCCCTCCAATTAAAGGCATCATTTATAATCAACTGTAAATACTAGTGGATTCACTCAAAATGAGCTAGACCCAATGATTTTTCCCCATTTTAGAGTTTTCCACGCAAAAATCTTGATGTCTCTTATAAATATTGCACTCTCTCTTTTTATCTGATTGCCTGCTGAATCTTCGTACAAAACTACGATATCAAACTTTATATTTCTCTACCGCCGTGAATATTCCAGGAGGCAACAATTATATATACTAACTTCAAAATAAATTTAATAAAATTCAAATTTATGTTAATATAATTTATTATAATATAAAACTTTAATCTAATTTTCTTTAGAAATCCAAATCATATTTGATCATCATAACGCTGGCACATTCAACCCTCCCCATTGTTTTTTTCCCTATGGCTAATGGGATAAGATTCCTTGCAGTATTTTAACTACATTCGTACTATTCTAACTTAAATTATACTTTGAAGTGCATTATGCTTCTAAGATAACAAGAGGGTCGCTCTCATCTCGATAATATCTAAGGAGTATTGTAGTCTGCCGAAAATTACATGGCCAGCACTATAAAGTTTATTATTATGATATGAATAAATTTTTTTTATAGTTTAATCATTATTAATTAAATAAAGCAATAATTGGTCTAGAATCTTCATAAGGCTCCAATGACCGGCCTAAAGAAATCAAAACCGGCCGAATCAACCGAGTTTTATATAATACAAACCAGACCAAAATATTATTCGAGAAATCTACCTAATTTCTCTCTCTCTCTCTGTCTGTCTCTCTTTTAAATTTTATATAAATCAAAATTTACGAAAAAATGTTATAAAAATTATTTTGTACTATTAATTTTAAAAAATTAAATTTATTTTAAAATTAATGTAGCATAATCTTTTCATATATAACGTTTAAAAAATTTTAATTTCATTTTGATATGGCGGCCGGTGGGGCTATTGCCTGGAGATTTTGGTTATTGGCTTGGGTGAATTCCTTCATGGTTGAGATAGCTATTGGGTTTTGGCTGATCTTTTTTCAGGACCGGACAATGATGAGATAGGTTCCTGCTCGCTTCCTGGATGGCCATGGCTTGGTGGAAACCTTGGTGGTCGATTCTTCTGTTTGGTCTTTGGTGGTTGTTTGGTTCTTCTTCCTGATGTTCTCTATTCCTCCAATGGATGATCCAAGCTAGGCAACTAGGTGTGTTTATGAGTTTGAATGCCTTAAGGCCTTAATTTCATTCTCTCTATTTTTGGAATTCCAATTTGTTGCTTTTCGTGGTATTTTCAACTTTGTAATGTCTTGTTGTGATCTCATTTGGCCTATGTTTGTACTACCCTTTCATTTATGAAATATAAAATAAAAAAAAGGGTTATAGATTTCAAAATAGTCCCTTGAATATATGTACATGATCATTTCAGTAGCAGAGTATAACGTTGTTCCAATTAAAAATTGAGATTAATTTTCTAAAGTCAATGAACTAAATTTGGATCAATTTATATCTCAATTATATCGACAGGGACTATTTTGGATCAATTTTGTATAGTTGAGAAACCAAATTGAGATAGCATGATATTCTGAGACTAAATTGATCATACATGAATAGTTGATGGACTATTTTGAAAATTTTCTTTTTAATTGCATGAATGATATTACAATATATGGCCATCAATTGACACAAGCCAATTGTTTAATAGCCTTGAAGTTTTTATTTTATTTTATTTTTTATTTTTAGGCACCACAATATTACACTTTGAACAAAACAAAAACTTACATGATTTACTCTAAGGGATGCCATATGCTGAAAATGACAAGTACTTTTTTGTATAAGAATGGTGTAAATAAGTCAGTGAAGCCAAAGCATGCCTCAGCTTGGCCTTGAAGTTGACTCTTAATTAAACTTCTTGTGTGTTAGATATGAAGAAAATTATCATCTTGATGTTGAAGAAAAATTGTGCTCAAATAAGTTAAGAGCATTTTCTTGGACATATGGGATATTTTTGTTGAAAAATTCAAAAAGAAAAAAATCACGAGGTTTTACCTAATTCAGATATATATTTAACTCACACCTTTTTGCAATTAGCCTACTTACACTTGATGATTAACATTGATGTTATAGATTTAAAATTATTGTACAATAATGTATAAAATTAATAACTTAGGCTTCGTTTGAGAATATTTTCTTACTTATTTCTAAAATAATTTTTTTTTTATAAATTTTTTAAAATTTTCTAAAACTATCACAAAGGAAGTGTAGTTTTTTTTAAGAGAAATAGAATTTATTCAAATAAGAAAAGAGACATACAAAGCAAGGCCATAAAGAGGCCAGAATAAGAAAATGACACATCCAAAACAATACAATAATCTATAAAATGCAAAGCAGTTTGAAAATAAAAGAAAAAAGAAAATCCTTGAAGGCAGTCAGACTCGGAAATGCCACCCTGTTGCCTGGCTTGGACCGTCCTTGGAGGAAGAGCAAATAACCACCAGAAATACCAAATACACAAAAAACCACAAAAACTCGAGCAAAAGACCATAACTATGCAGAGAAACAACCACCAAGGTTGCAACCAAGCGAAGGCCATCAGAGGGCGGGCAAGAAACCACCTCATCAATGTCCAAAACCGAGTAGTCGACCAGCCAAAAGACATCATAGCATGTAGCGACCAAAAACCAACAACCAATAAAATCATAAAGGGCACCCATACAGCCCTCCATACAAATATAGCACATCCATGCCATAACTTCCAAAACAATAAATTTACTTTCTTTTATATTTCTGTCGACAATATTTTTCACCCCCAGTGAGAAAGCCTTTTCCACTAAGCGATTCATATTCAAATTAAACATATCATTGAGATGCTCCTCATGCCCATCCAACTCTTCCCCAACACCCCACCAGATGAGGAAAAAGAATCATCAATCCAATCTGTTTGAGCTAGACACACAAGCATCATTTAGTTGTACTAGTAGCTAACCAAGGTTTGAAGTTAACATTTTACTTGGGAAACTGGAGGAGACTTTTCTTGGTGAATTATCTTTGTGAGAATCTATTATCAATTCGCGAGTACTCCATGAAAGTTTATCAGGTGAATAATCCTAATTATTGTGCAGCATTTTTTGGGTGGCTGAACTCGACTCCAAAACCTTATAAATAACTTCTAGAATCTTCATCAATTAAGATAAATTGCAGCCATATAATAAACAATTCCATGAATGTCTCAAATGAGTTAATTTACTATTACATTATTTGAGCAGCCTTAGGCTTTATGCTACTTCAACTTTAGTAAAAGATTTAAGTTGTTCGCAGTCAACAAACAAATTTTGATCTTGCTAATGACTTGATTGCTTGAATCAACGAGTGAGGCTATGTATCTTTGAAAATATAGATTTCGATTTTATTTATTTTGAGTGTGAGAAGATTTTATCATAATTTTCAACCGTATCCATTCAAAGAATTAATAGAATCTAATATGCTAACTCTTTTTTTTCTATGGCGTCGTTAGGGACTACTTTCTTACTGTTTTATTTTTCAAATTGTAATTATAATTTCTATTTGATTATTACTTTTTCATTGCTTTTTAAAGTTTTTGTACTATTAAGCTACTTTTTTGGACAGCTTTAAAATGTTACTTTTTCTACAATAATTTTACAAAATAATTAAAAAATTACCCTAAATGAAACTTAAGTTCAACCGCTACAGGAAAATTGTCCATTACCGACGGCGATTTCCTGTGATTTACACAGGAATAAACATAATTGGAAATAAAAACCGGCGATATATTTCCGGCGATTTTTCGGTGGCTATAACAGTTGGAAATTACTAGGCCCAAAACCGCGTAATTAAAGACCATCATTCACTCCTAATTTTGTTTAAGCCTGCTACATGCTAATTGGTTTTTTTGGGAAAATTAAGGTATAGCATCCATACTCACACACACAACACATATATATGATTCGAACCCAAAATCTCTTAATTTACTTAATAATCTAAACACCCAATCAATAGAGCAGGAGATGTGTTAGTTGTGCATGCTAACCTTTAATATATACAAACGTTTTTTCTTAAGAAATCAGAACATACAAAATCACCGCTCCCATGCTCCCAAACAAATATATTACAAAGGCTAATGGAAGCCGAGCAGGACCTCTTTATCCTATCGTTTCTTCGCGAACACGAAGAAGCAAAAAATGGCACAAAACCAGAACCCTAATTTCCTTTTTTTTTTCAGGAATTTGAATACTCGATTTTTTTTTCCCTAAAGTGAAAATCTTCACCTGGTCGAGATAACCAAGCTTCTGGATCCAAACATCTCTTCAAGCAAAACAACAAAAGCCATAGCCACAGCGGCGTCAAATCCAGGCTGAACGACTAGTCGAAAAACATCGAGACCCAAATCCACCCCACCTACTTCCTCCTTACGCCGGATCTCCGCCACCGCCATTCGAGTCTCATCATACAACGCACAGCAACGCTGCGTATATGATCCCTCGACCTCGTACACCAGTGATCCGCCATCGCAACGGATCACCTGGGCCAACGATTTCGGTTGCAGAAAGTTCACGTGCTTCTTCACCGAGAACCGAGGGTTCGCCGACTCCTCGCCGTCGTAGATCTCCCAGTGCTTGCCCAAGCTCAGTTTCTGCAATCGGAAAACAAAGTCAGGTAATCCGATTCTCGATTTAACAAAGCCCCATAGTAATTTGTTAGATTATAATCTCGATTATTTAATTTATTTGGATTATACCTTTCGTCGGATTGTGAGGAGGGGATTTCCGGCGGCGTCCATTAGGATGATCTCTCCCTTGCTGTATCTATCATATTTATCGACGCGGAAGACGAGATTACCTTCAGCATCGAATACAGTGAACCCCTTGCAGTTGAAGAGAAGCGATTTTCTCCACACTGTAAGGGTCACCGGAGGCGCCGGTGGCGTAGGAGGAGATTGGGAGTCTACGGTGGTGGAGACGTTGGATTTTGGGGATTCAAGAGCGTAAGCCTTGGGGTGGATTCTATTCGTCATTCACGTAGGAGCTGGTTTTTCCGTCACCGGAATCCGGTCGGAGGGTGGACGTAGAGCGTGGAATGCTAGAGATAGAGAGATTGCTGAGGCCAGCCAGCTTCGGTTGTGAGGGCAAATTTATAACATCTTGTGGACGAAAATACCCTCTCAGATTAGCGTAGTTGAGAGCACGTGGCCCTACTGCGGGGCTTGGAAATACTAGTATGTGTAGGGACTTCATTGTCCTGCCACATATTGTGCTGGAATTGGTTGATATTTAGACAAGTGGATCTTAGGGGCGTCGCTTTACTTTGCTCTGCAAATAATAGTTAATGATCTTCTTTTGTTTTTATTTCAGCGTCAAAATTGAATTATTACTTATTTTCATTATTTGCAAATATTTGAATATTTCAAAATATATATTAATTTTTTACTTTCATTTAATAATATAATAGAATGCAATGCATTATTTATTTTTTAAAATCTGTTTACTTATTGGATTAATAAAATCAGGCTATATAGTTGTATAAAATTGGATTTAATACTATGTGCATGATGTTACAAAAATTAATTAATAAAATATTTGAATCTAATCTTATCTTCCACTCAAGCTACTCGAACCTTTTCACGTATATGCTCATTTCGTATCATATCTCTAAGAATAAAGTCGCTCACACACCTGAACATCCTCATCTCTGCAACAATTAACTTAATATTATGCTTCTATTTTAATGGTCAACATTATGCACCATAAAAAATTATAGGTCTCATTATAATCTTATAGAACTTTTCTTTAAGTTTGAGAGGGACTTTTCTATCACACAACAAGTTCGATGCATTCCTCCTCTTCAACCATCCAACATGAGTTCTACTAATAATATCCCTATTTATTTCACCATCACTCTGAACAATGGACTCAAAATATCTAAAACGTGCACTCTTATTAATGACTTGATCATCCAAAGTCACAATCCCTCCACTAGATCTATTATTACTAAAATTACACTTCATATATTCAGTTTTAGATCTACCCAAACGAAAGCCTTTAAACTCTAAGATTGACCTCCATAATTCAAGTTTACTTTCAACTCCCTCTCTACTCTTATCAACAAGAAGAATATCATCAGCAAAAAATATATACCAGGGTAGAGCCTCTTGCAAATGTCTAGTGAGAACATCCATGACTACATAAAAAATATATGGGATTAAGGTTGATCTTTGATGTAATCCAACTGAAATAGGAAAATTGTTTGTCAAACCACCTTGTGTTTGAACACAAGTAATAGCTCCTGCATACATATACTTAATGACTTGAATATTAGCATTATTAACCCATTTCTTAATTATGTAGAACTCTCCATAGCAGTTATCTTAGAACTTTATCATATGCTTTTTCTAAATCAATAAAAAAACACATGTAGATCCTCCTTGTTCTCTCTATATTTCTCATCAAACCTCTCAGTAAATATATAGCTTCCATAGTATACCTACCTAGCATGAATCCAAATTGATTTTGAGGAATATTAATGTTATGCCGAAACCTGTGCTCCACAACTCTCTCTCATAGTTTTAAAGTATGACATATTAACTTAATTCCTCTATAATTTGCACAATCTTGTGCATTACTTTTATTCTTAAGAATAGGAATCAACACACTCATTTTTCACTCATATGACATCTTTTTAGTTTTCAAAATAATATTAAAATGTTTAGTAAGTTAAGAAAATTTTTCATCTTCTAAACATTTCTACACCTTTATTGGAATATCATCAAATCCAATAGCTTTTTCGCACTTCATTTTCTTTCAAGCTTCTTTAACTTTTGTTTTACTAATACGCCGGTACAAATCTAAATCTTTATTTTCATTTAGGATTCTAAGGTGACTAAAGTCAATCACAATCTTACAATCTTTATTGAAAAGCTAAACAAAATATCTCATCCACCTTTGTTGAATATTTTCTTCTAATAAAACCACTTTTTAATCTTCATCCTTAATACACTTCATATGAACTAAATCCTTACTACTAATATCCCTTTGTTTAGCTAGTTTATACACATATATTTCTCCCTCATTTGTATCTAACCTATTATATAAATCATTAAAAGTTAAAACTTTTGTATTGCATATTGCTTTCTTAGACTTCTTATGAGCTCCTTTATATCTTTCTAAGTTATCATAACTTTATAGCTAAACTAATTTTTATAACAAATTTTCTTATTTTTTATCTTTTCATGCACATTTTGATTCTACCACCAACTATTTTTACCATTATTAACTTTTTTTTTATACTCCAAAGACATTTTTTGCAATATTTTAAATATCATTAGTTATTTTTTTCATCTAACATTAATTATTCATATATAAACAAAATCTTAGGATCTAAAATTTTACTCTAAAAAATATTTTTTATTAATATTGTTAAATGCCAACATCTTATCCTAGAATAATTATTTACTTTATTTGTCATTTTCTCCCCTTGATCTAAAACAAACAATATTGAGTACATAAACTTTCAATCAGATTATAATCTTTGCAATCTAAATGATTTATTTTTTATAATAAAATAATCAATATGAGTTTTGTTATATCTATTCTTATAAGGGATGAGATGCTCATATGTTTTCTTAAATAAAAGATTAGCAATTAAAAAAATTAAAAGCTAAAAAAAAATCTAATATGGCCTTTTCATCTTCATTAGTCGATCCAAAGATATAGCCACCATGAATGATTTTCTGATTTTAAAATCATCTACTTATTTACCAACATATTCATTTAAATCTCCTTCAATAAAAATTATTTCTTCAAGATGTATCTTTTGTATTAATTCTTCTAGGACATTCCAAAGTTTTAATTTTGAACATATATCCAAACCTACTTTTGGAGTATAAGCGCTTAGAATATTAATAATCTTAGTATCAGCAATAATTTTTAATTTCTATAATATTATCCTTCAAACGTTTATCTTTAATAACACATATATAATTTCTAAAACAATTCCTTCCAGAATATCATACTTTAAATCATAAACTATTAATCATCTTAGCCTTTTCCCTAACCCATTTAGTTTCCTTAATGCATAGAATACTTATCTTTCAAAAAATCATAATATATGTTATTTCCATTAATTTGCATGTAAGAGAAACTATATTTCAAATTCTTATCATAATTTTAGTTTCATGGACAAGCTTCTTTGCCCACGTTTGTCTATGATATAGGACCCTTGCCTATTTAACATTGCACCAAGGGCACTAGTGCAACGGCCCTTGCACACTTGTCGTTGTATTCTAGTCATACAACACGTCGCCTCTAGGGAACGCCCTAGCATTAATGCAATATATTAAAGGATTCATATCATGATTATTTGATAAGTTTTATGTTATTTTTCGACTACCTAACGAACCCTTCACTTTTCTCATCCATGACTTGGGACTTGGCAACAAAAATATTCCAATAGAACTATAATATGAGTAAAATTCGAACAACACAAGATTGCTATTAAATTAAACAACACATCTTTAAATAGCTTAACATGACATTATGGAGCGCTATAAGGTTCTTTTGAAATATTTACTTGATTTAAGATATGGTCTAAGCCCTAATTCCCAGCTTTGCAAGGCCCTCTTATAGTCTGGCAATATGTTCATCAGCAAAATAAAAGAAGAGATTCTAGTTGATAAGGCTCACCTGAGGCACCTTGATGCCGAACAGGTTAAGTAAATAAGGGCTGCGGTACATGTGGCCTGATTCTAACAGAATCACACTCCTTAGTATCACCTTTTTCTGACAAAAGTACCTTTATACACTTTACATCTTTTATTTTACTATTTAGAAAATAGAGCAAATAGAACTTATATAGCAGGAAGGCTGAGAAAGAAGGATAGATGATGTTTTTGAACTCTTTTTACAAACCGTATTCTTGAAGAATACTGAGCAATATAGAGGTATTCCTGCTACCTTTCCCTACATTGTTTTGTTCTTGCATTTGTTTGTGTTTCCAGGAGCTGAAGATCCTGCACAAGGGCATCAAATTGGTATCAGAGCCAACGCTCAAAGCTGGAAGACAATGACAGATCGCGGCAAAGAACCGGTGAGGGAAGAAGCTCGCTCCATCGATGGACTATGGGCGAGTCAGGAGAAGATCAATCGGAGGATCGATGATCTGGCCACGGACGTTCAACGCCTGACTATGGCGATTCGTCAAGGGTTTAATCCTAATGCGGCGAAAGATCCGCCACTATTTCATAGGGAGGAATTACCTGCAAATAGGTTAACACCTCGTCGTCGTCCCACATATGGACACCATGACAGGCATATTCCTGTAAATCAACGGGACCAAGCCAATTCAGAAGACGAAACACCTCCGCGCCGGCACAATCCTGACCTGAGGGACTCCTTTTAAGACGATACGGAGGACGGGTGGATTGCGAATGGGAGAAGACACAGGTGGCCAGAACGCTTCCCACGCTACCCAGGCGAGTTCAAAGTTAAGTTGGATATCCCATTTTTTGATGGACATTTGCATATTGAAGACTATCTGGATTGGGAAAAAGCGGTTGAAAATTTTTTTGATTATATGGAAATTGCTCTGGAGAGACAAGTCAAATATGTGGAGTGTCGATTGAAAAGCGGCGCCAGTGCATGGTGGGAGCAAGTCTTGCAGAGCAGACGGAAGGAAGGTAGAAGCCGCATCAATACCTGGGCAAGAATGAAGCAATTGTTAAGGGCGCAATTCCTTCCCACAGATTTTGAGCAAATCTTATACATGCGGTATCAGCACTGTATGCAAGGAATTCGCACTGTTAGCGAATATACAGAAGAATTTAATAGGTTGAGCGCCAGAAACGACTTACATGAGTCAGGAACCCAATTGGTCGCGAGATATATCGGCGGTCTCAAAGACAGTATTCAAGATAAATTGGAGCTCAACTCCGTGTGGACTATGCCACAGGCTGTGAATTTAGCTATGAAGGTTGAAGTACAGCAGAGCCAACAGCCAAAACCACCATTCAATCGAAGACATTGGCAAGAGCCAAATTCCTCTAGTTCCAAAAGTAGCTCCAATTCAGTGACTAAATCTAGCCAGACAGTTAACGCTGCCTCTCCAGCGGGTCTTCCACCTAATACTGGAGGCGACAGAAAGAGTCAACCCAAACAGAAATCAACCAATCCTTATGCCAGACCCTCAACGTTGAAGTGTTTTCGGTGCTTCCAATCCGGGCACAAATCCATCGAGTGTCCCCAAATACAACAACTACAGTTTGCCGGTCCGGATGTGGAGAATGAAATCACCGACCTGGA